TGCAACTTCTGAACAGATGCAAGTGCCCTGTTCTTACCAACATCATTCTCTGAAAAAATGAAATTGCTGGACAAATCCCACAACTCCACTGCCCCTTCGTCATGCAACGTCACAGACTTGACACCAGCAAGTACAAGGTTCTTCACTGCAAGAGGATACAAAACACGAAACAAGATTACTTGATACTGAAAATTGATCTCCAAATTAAGAATCCACATCTCGCCGGTGATAGCTCGTTGAAAATGATCATTAACACGTGTAACAATTATACAACACAAAAGTAGGAGCTCTTAATGAGTGGCAACAAAAACAAGCAAGCAATCAAGGAATTCATTAACTATCATGAAGTTTATAATTACAACTCCATTATCAAATGACAGAGAACTGGTCTACATATAAAAATCACTAAATTCACCATATAGTTATGCACTACAATTACCAAAAAAATAACAACCAAACACAGTTCAAAAATCAATATCAAATGAAATAAGCAAATTCGTGAAGAACAATTCGAGAAAGTAATCAATCTTCATACCGATTTCGGCGCCAAGGCCTTGCATCCCCGAGACAAGGATGTTAGAGGCGAAAAGCCGCCGCATAGTCTCGCGTCCGTACACAGCGAGCTGTCGGCTGTGAAGATCCTCGTCGATATCCGGCGGATTTCCATCTCCCAATGCCATCTCCGGCAAGACGCTACCGCCCCCGCTGCTGTGATTACTGCTGTTGATGTTCCCTATGAAGCCGGCGTTGCTTTTCACGTCGCCGCTATCGTCTCCGTCGTTCGCCGTCGCTGCGGTGGCGGAGGTCAAGCTACCGATTCGATGCTTCTTGATGAAGCTCTGTGTTTCACTAGTGTCGTCGTCTTCTACAAACACCTCAGGTCTCTTTCTAGGAAGCATAAAGTGCAACAAACTGCTGAACCCCATCGACACAGTCAAGAACAGAAGAAATGTATTCATCAAACTAAGATCGAAACACTTTTTATTACATACCAATCCAATAACGACCAATGCTATTATCACTATAAACCCTAACCCTAGCCTCGTTAATGGCGTCATTTGAAACCGATTCGAGAGAAGAGAATGACGAATAAATGAAGATTAATAGAGAGAGAGGGAGAGAGAGAACGTACCGATTGGAGCTCCGGTGCTGATAAGAATGGAATGAGAGAGAGCCGAGAGTGGGTTAGCTTTTGGTTTTGGAATTTTCAGAGGTGTTTGGGTTTTGAGAGAGAGAAAGAGAGGAAGAAGGGTATTTATGGATTTGCATTTGGTAGGGTTTAGGGTGACAGGTGGTAATGCATTTGCATCGCCCAAGTCAGTTCCATTTGTTTCCGATAGACGGAGAGAGACAGGGAGAGATGTAAAGTCGAAAAAGGTAAGGCTGTGTGCAGGGGCTGGGTCCACTCCACAGACCCACCCCACCTCTACGAAAATTAATTTGTTAAGTTATTGTAAAAAAAAACATTAAGGCTTCGACATAAAATATTTTATACAACAAAATTTATTTAGGTAAATTATAAATACATCTTCTGTGATTTAGTTAAAATATAAATTATTTTTATAATTTTAAAAATTACATTTTATTTTTGAAATTTATAATTTCATAACAAATTATTCATTTTATTAATAAATTATCAAGTCAATTAATAATTTTTAATGATGTTAGAAATATGTTTCAATTAATAATTTAGGTAATTTTATTATTGTATAGAAGAATAATTATGAATTTTATTTTTTTAATTAATTTTGTTAAATAAAAAATACTAATAATGAGATATTTGTAATTTTTCAAATCACAATGAGCAATATGTATTTTAAGCAAACCTCAGGAGTGTATTTGTAATTTATTGAATTTATTTTTATTTTTTTACGTTTGATTAACATTTAAAATAAAAATATTTTATTTTTTAAAAAGAAAATTTAATGTAATAAAATATTATTTAAGAATTTTTATTGAGTTAAAATATTTATTTGAACAATATTAAATATGTTAAAAATGTAACTTTGTAAATTGACTTACAAAATTTTTTAAGGAAATCATTTTTAAAAAAATGATGGAAAAATATTTTATTTAAAAAGTATTTTACTTACTTTTTATTCAACCAAACAATAAAAATATTTTACGTCACAACAAAAATAATCTAAGTTTCATACTGAATAAAAGTTAGTTTTAGAATTGACTATTTTAATTTTGAAAAAATTACAAAGTCATGAAAAAATTATCACTTCAATTATTAACATTGGTAGGTTTTTACCACTTATTTAAAATTTATTTTGAAAAATACACTGAATTTTAATTTTCCTTTTAATTTTTACAAAAATAAAAAATAGATAAAGTAATATAATAATTTTTTAACTTTTTAATTATTATAATTACCCTTCAAATAAGGCGCAAATATATTTTAATTATTATAATTACGAACCGCATTCATTTCCGAAGTATGTGTTTGAATAAAATCAAATTCCACCACTACCCTTACCCGTGTGGGTCAAAATGTGGTTGATTTTGAATATGGGTTGATTTTTTAGTTATTTTAATCTAAGATTAAAGGGTATCGTTTGACATGAATTTTTTGATTATTTTTTAACTTTTGTAAAAAAAAAAATAAAATAATTATAACTTAAATATAATATTTTACCTTATTAAATTAAAAAATCTATTTTATAACCACACGCAGTGAGCGACTTCAACACAAGAAGTTATTCAGTAAATCAAATACATCACGTCATCATGCTAACGTGGCGTAACAAATCAATAAAATTTTTAAAAATATTATAGTTATTTTTTAAAATTAATAACACATTGGAAAATTTTCTAAAATTTTTTCACATACTATGTTTTTTTTTTTTTTTGTAAATTACAAATATATATCAAATATTTATAGGAGAATTTTTTTAAAGGTCCTTGGTATTAATATTTTATAAGATAAAAGATATACAATTTTTCATAGTAGTTGCGGTTCATCATTATTTTCACTGAAAAATTTTATCCCGACACAGAGAAATTTCAAAATTTCTCTGATATGATTATAGAACAAATTCATCAACGGACCTTAATTAATAAAAAATAAATTGGACTTCTTCTACTATCCAAAGTTGAACAGAAATGTTTCACTAATTTTCTCATACTTATAATTGTAAATAAATGAAAAATAAGAAATGTGAAATATGAAATATGAAAAATAAATAAAATGTTTAACTTGACAAAGTTAATAAAAGTATTTAATTTCTCTGGACTGAAATTTCTCTGGATCAAGGTTGAGGGACCTTAGATATTATGAAAATATTGTTAAGGGACCTTAGACATTATGAAAATATTTGGTGTCCTTTATGCTATAAAATCATAATACCAGGGACCTTAAAAAAAAAACCCCTAGATTTAAGTACACAAATTGTGCATTTGGTCTTCCGCCCAGACGACCGGCCAAAGCTTGTCGATTGCGGTTATCATGGTGTCGTCCGATCATTTAGGCAGACAACCAGTACACAGTTTCTATATTTAGTTTATGTGTTCCAATCTCTGTGTGCGTAACATTACTATAAAAATTATGTTTATTGCGTCATGTACTCTATTAATTTGATTTAATGATTAATATGCAGAGAGCTTATTTGTTTTGTGATTAAAAATCTCAACAGATGAGATGTAATATCTTAAATATGAGAAAATAATTTATATTTTTAATAAGTCTTAATTTATTTTTTATTTTTCTATGTATTTGTACACGGCCAATGTGGTACACCGGACCATGGAAATAACTTCTCGTTGGGTACGGCCCATACAGTTATGGTGGGCCTGTGTGTGGTGAGGCAACACGGTGACGTACATGATACTGATACGGAGTCTTAGATTGTATAATGTAGTAACGACGTCGGTTTGAGTAGTGGATAATGTGGTTCGTGGTGCATATGATTGCACCCTTTCATGCTAATTATGTGCTGAATGAGGAAGGTGTACAAAACGGAGGGGAAATTTTTTTTAATTTTATTAAAAATTAATGATAATATCTAACTAAACAGAATGATTGGCCCATAACATTTACGTTTAATTATTTTTTATTAAAACTTTTAGGGCATATTTGGTTTGTCTCTTAAAACATATTTTTAGAAAGAAAAAAAAAAAAAAAACTTTCAAAAATATGTTTGGTTTAAATTTTTTTTTTTTAAAATTCTAAAGTTACATTTCTCTCTGCTATACATCGATTAATCGCTTTTTTTTTTCTTCTCTCTCATTCTCACTCATTTTTTTCTCACAACCATCTATTCAATTATAAAAAAATATCAAATTATCCCAAATTTGAAAATTTAAAAACTATTTTCAAAATATACAACTACATAAATTTTCTAATTTTTTAAACTCTTTCCAAAAAATTATTTTTAAAATAATATCTCAAAACACAAACCAAACAAGGCCTTATTTTATTTTCGTTTACAAAAAAAAATTAATTAATTAAAAATAATAATAAATATTATAAATAAATAAAATATATTATTATTATTGAATATTATTTTTTAAATATTGTCAAATACCCCATCATTCACACAGCCAACTTGAGTAATTGGCTTGTTTTGGGAAGTAAGTTAAAGTTAATTTTTTGGTTTTTTTATTTTTTTATATAAAAAGATGTGTAAAAAGTAAAAAGGTAATGTAACTAAAAAAAATCAAAAAAATGTGACCTAAAAAAGTCAAAAAATTTTAAAACTGTTTTTAACTGAGTTGTCAAAACAAACTAAAGTCTATTTATAATTCATAAAAATTAAATTTAAGCAGCGGTAATGATTTTATCCTTCAAATTTTAAAACTGTTTTTAACTGAGTTGTCAAAACAAACTAAAGTCTATTTATAATTCATAAAAATTAAATTTAAGTAGCGGTAATGATTTTATCCTTCAGCTATGGTTTGGGATATTCTAAATAAGTGTATTTTTTTACTTTTTATAAAAAAAAATTACAGAAAAATAGAGAAAATGGGTAGAAAAATAGAGAAGAAATGTTGATAGATGTTGATTGAAGTGACCCAAATAAGTGCATGTATGCAAAAAAAAGTATATTTTTTTAGTACATGCCATACACCTTATATTTAGGGATTGTTTGGAGTGTCCTAAATAAGTACATTTTTGGACTAAAAAATTGAAGAAAAAAATATGATTTTTGGAATAACTTTTGGTCTTTTTACGAAAAAATGTGTATTAAAATATTATATAAAATGGCAAAATTATATTTTTATCCGTACCTGCCAAAATCATCAGTGACAAGCGGCAGAGGAAAGTACGACTGGGTTGAAATGGTGCATGAGTCTTCACGGGTACTGATGGGCCGTGGGGCCCACCAAGGGTCCTATTTCGATAATCCGAACCGTTGAATGTGTAAAACTCGTTAAGTGCTATACGTCAATGAAAAATCAATTTAATCGGATATCAATAGTTATGTGATCAAAAAAATTTTGTATGAAATTAATGGATGGTGAAAAATAAACGGCTGAAAAAAAATATGATTCGATCACATAGCTATCTATATCCGATCAACTTGATTTTTTACAGGCATATAGTACTCGATGAGCTCTACACATTAACGGTTCGGATTATCAAAAACGAACCCGTGTTAGGCCCCCATGGGCCCAACATTACTCTCCAACTTAATATATATATACATCTAATTTTTTTTTTTTCTGGTTCATTTAGACGGACCAATATTGACCGTACCAACGTTGTCCAGTCGTTGTTTGTATTAAAATATTGGGGAAATTAATTTTTTTATATTTTTAATTTGTAGATAGTGATAATGTTTTAGTATCTTTTTAGCTTTTCGAATTTTTCCAGGTATGTCAAACCAGGCCTTAAAAAAGTAATTTGCCAAACAGGGCCTTAAACTTAAAATTTTATCTTTTATGATTTTTATTATGCTGAAATGAAGTCTAAGTCCCATTAAAAATAAATAAAAATGTAGTCTGACTAATTTGAACTCGGGTGTATTTTTAATTTTTTTAGAGTATCATGGGCCAGTTTAAGCGTACCACACTAGGGTTGGTTTGAGATAACTTATAAAAGTCAAAAAGTTACTAAAAAAAATAAAAAGTTCATATTATTTAGGGGGAAGCTTGCGGGGGATTATTTTGCCGTTTAAATTCAACTATCCAAAAGTCAAAAAGTTAAAACTCAACAAGTTAACAAGGGTAGAATGGTCATTTTAATTTTATTACAAATCTTTTGGTAAAAAGTCAAAAAAAAATTCCAAACATAAGTCCCGTTTGGTAAAGCTATGAGAAAGTGATTATAGATTATACCTTAACAGATTATAGCTTACAGCTGTGAGCATAAGCTGGTAACCTATTTGGTGTAGCTGTGGGATTATAGATTTACAGCTGTGAGCATAAGCTGGTAACCTATTTGGTGTAGCTGTGGGATTA